TTTCGCGTTGACGTACCGTGAGCGCGTAGTTATCCAGGGTCGTTCAACGCTCGCGCTCGTTGACTAGTTAACGAGTGGCTAGAAATTGGATGACAGTTGCACTAGCCGCTTTAGATAAATTTATAGGGAATTTCTGCGACGTCGAGTGCCTTTCTTGCGTTTCCGCGTCCCCGTGTTCCAGGCATCCGCGAAAACAGACGACACATCTCTAATTGGTTTCCAACCGTTATTCTTTCGCGATCGTTAGGCGAAGACAAATCGGAAGACGTACGACGAGAACCGGGATACCGATTTATGACCAGGAATTCGCTGAGATTTCGATTGCACGGTTTCCTGCTAAACGGATTCTGGGCTTATTTCGATTGACTCGAGCTGGATTCAAGGCTCGCAATTTTTTCTTAGGAAAGACTAGAATAAATGTGGAATTTCGTGACAAGAGCGTATTGTACAATTCGCGTATTTTTTTTTAAATATAGAATAGCGGTTCTGGAAACCCTCTTTATGGTGGTGTCGATGACGGTCGCAGGTTTTTCAATTGGAATCAAAAACTAAAATTTTTCGATTCTACATAGCCAAATAGGATTTTTTTTTAATATTGACTTTTGTAGAAACGGCACATGTTTCCAAAAGAAATTTGACAAAAAGTTTTTAATATTGTATATCACGAAACCCCTAAGTACTTGGTTAGATAATCTAATAATACAAATTTTATGAAGGTATTCGGTTTGACAAATATCACTTTGAGAAAAACGAGTTTCAAATTTTACTGATAAAAGAGTAGAAATTTTACGTCCAGCCATTGTCAGCCGTATATTTAGCGAAATAAATTTTTCTAAACAAGAATTAGTTATCGAGTTGTTTCGAAAATGGAAACAGCTTAACTTTTACAATATTTTTCGAATTCCCAGCAACGTTTGCGCCTTGACTATGAAAAAACCAATAGCAAACGGTAAATACGATCCATCAGCGTAACCGATTCTTAGCGAGTTCCATGGATACTAATTGCCCATGGTCACGTGCACACGATTCTTCGAAGTTTCTTCAATCATTCACCTCGTTTAGTCACCGACGGCCTCGCGTCTCGCACAACAGATCCTTGGAGAACCGCGTCTCTGTATTCGCGTACTTATTAGCGTTACTCTATCCATTATTCTCGCGAGAGGTTATTCCGCAATTAAAAGGAAACTGCTAATGGCATTGAGGGGATTGTCGAGAACACGCCGCTCAAAGGCCCGACAATTTATGATCTATGAATAGAAGAGTCCGAGCGATTGGAATTCTACGCAGTTTCCTGATCTCTGTGATTTCAATGGAATCTCTACCTTTCGTTGCAGCGAAAACTAAAATATACACGTGTATAAAATAATAACAAATGTCTTTGGCACAGATACACGGGAACAACAAAATAAAATTTCCACTCAGAATACAACTAGAAAATCTCGACTTAATAAAACTGTTCCCTTTTGTCAACCTCTCGATGCAAAACTGTATGCAAATTACGTTATGTTTCTCTACAGTAATGATTCTTAAAATGAACATCGTTCCGGGATCCATGTTCATCTTTGGAACAGCGGAGGTGAAATTCGACACCAACAGAAATTATTACACAATGTAACACGATATCGTCGAGTCTCCAAGTCGCTTTTATCTTTCGCCGACGGCAGCAGTCGAGAAACGAAGTAGAGGACAGCTAGTGAGAGCGAATGAGAAAACATATCGTTCTTTAAATGTCGTCTCTCGCTCTTCGCTGGCTTCAAGGGGGATCCCCCCAGTCTAAAACGTTCAATTTACGAATCACGTGTTTATTTTAAAAATCATTATTAAAACGATCGACATTTTAAGCGGCCATGGTGGAAAAAGAACGCCTCGTAGGAACCGTGAGCAGCTTTGACATGTTAATACGGACAAATAAGGAGATCGTCGTTGGCTATTTCATATTTCATCGTGCTCACCCTCCGACGCGGAAACGCCCGGGCGACATTATTATGTATGCTGTACCCTGTTAAGCAGAGGCATTTCTTTTTGCATGGACGGCACGATACATCCTAGTTCTTTTGCGCGTAAATTGCATGCTCCCTCCTCAGACCCGGCTCGCCGGGCATTAAGTCCATGCGTGGAGTCCAGGATGGATCCTGTGTTTGCTGAGGGGATAATAGTGTAATGGATGGACAGGGACGGTGGACTAGCGGATGAGACTGCTGTTTTCGAGACTCTAGTCTGAGGCTGCCGCCTCGGTCCTCTTCTAGTGCACTATTACTCCCTTTTGTCGGCTAATTGGCATCATTGTTGTGCATTGTTCAACCGCCAATTGTACGTTTTTGATGCACGAATCAACAGCTGTTCCGAGGAAAAGTGCCTTTGTCGAGCTTTAATGGTACACCCCCCACGTGAATGCGCTAGCGATTAGGATTACACCGACATTAACTGCTGCCGTTGGTCAGCGTATCGACCTATTTCCTATTATTATTTCACGAGCATCCATACTCAAATTGCTACCACGGGATCTTCGAAGACGAAGCTGGGTAATATTTCAAACGCTATTTCGTCTCAAATTCCATGTTAAAAGTTACAGAATGCGTAGATATCGTAGAATAATACGAATCTGTATCCTGATTGATGAAATATTTTAATTTTACATTACAAACACGTGTTTCGAGCAGACCTACCAATGGGTGTATGCAACTTCGCGTAGAAAAGAGCAACAACATTGTTCTCAGAGGATCGTAGTCGTCGTTGAAATAACCGGGCAAGAACGTAACACGATTGATGAAAAACGTACGTCGAGAGATAAACGATCGAGGATACCGTTCTCAAATTGACGCATCAATCGTAGCACGCAAGCGATAGGGAACACTGATTAACGCGATTACGTCCTCGACTAACGCCCTGGTAATTCCTTCTTTACGGTCTGAACGAAAGATTCCGACCGGGCGGACCTCCCATAAATATTAATTCCGCGCGTTACACGCAAGTAACGTCGTACCAGCGGGCAAAACAAAATGTAGAACGGCCCTCGGACCGTGTAACCGCCTCGGCGCGGCTGAGCTTTTCCAGCCGGCGGGATCGTAATAAACAATTATTATACGCGATAAATAAGGTTCCCCAGTGGAAAGAGAGATCAAAGGCGATCTGACGCGTTGATCTTCCGATACAGATTACAAGACTGATAAATGATCGACGCTCCGGCGTTTCGACGGAGGGGCGGGTTACAAACTGTGATTAGACTTTACTCTGTAGCTGGAACGCGGAAGTCTTTCGCGCGAACGCTTAGGCAAATGTCGTGCTAGCGCTGCCGGAGAAGTCGCGCATGCCGGGCCGGTTGGTAGCCCCGTTAGTAACTTTGACATTCTATACGTACGATTTTCCCACGAGCTGCTCGATCGGCTAACGGGAGCAGCCTTTTCTGGCAAATTTCTGGTAATAACCCGCGACCGCGGCGTTGTTCCAGCCGGCTAAACGCAACCGACGGACGTTGTACCAAGTATGGAGATTAGATTGGCACAACGGCCACTTACGTGTTTCGACCGATAACGCCTTTGTCTCGTTTCTTCTTTTTCTTTATTCATTTCGTCGGACCGCCGATATACCAGTCGTAGAAAGCGTTAACGCGTGATTTATGCGTCGTACGATTTTCCGCCTAAATCGTGTTCGATTGCGCAACCGATCCCGCGCGACGCGTTGCGAAATCCAGCGAAAATCCCAAATGAGAAACCCGTGTACTTGTTCTATCTTGGTCTATTAGTTTCGTGGTATCGCGTAGGCGCGTGTACGTCGGAACGTGTCCGGGCGCAAGATTTTACGCTCGATTCGAGGCGGTCGCGTGTGTTGTGCAATCTTCGCAGAAAGAATGAGCCTCTGTTCGTTGACCCCGTCCATCCACATGGAAGTCGTTCGACACGCTTTGTTTTGTACGTTAATCGGTATACAGGTCAGAGAGACCATTGGCCGATTTAGGTTGGGACGCGGCGCGGCAGCTACTTGAGCAGACAATTGCTTGTCATTGACACACAAAACCGTTGGTAACGAGAGTGACGATCGCCTCGACGGAGGGGCTTTCTTATTAATCGTCCACGGACGACGCGCACCCACGGATCTTGCCCGTGGATACTCCGGGGCAATTATTCAGTGTAACGTTTAACGAGCTTTGGCCCAACTACTGTATGCGTTGTTTCGTCGAAGAAATAAAATTCTGGCATAAAAATCTTCTCTCGAAGGCGTTTGTTATATTTAATGTTCTATTTATTGAGAGCATAATTCCGCGACGAAGCATTTTTACACACCCTGCAATGTTGATCGGTATTGCAAGGTCTCCTTTCTTGCGTGATCTCGCTTCTTTAATAAGTGCAAGGGCAGGAGAGTTCAAGTGCACTGTTCTAGCATAAATGGCATTTTCTCAAGTGTTTTTTCATTTGAAATATCTCGAGTATTCCTCGTAAATAAAATAGTCATAAGACAGATGTGTCGTGTCATTTAAATTTGCCTCTGCTATGTGTTTTCTAATCTCAACAGAATCAGACATATGTTTACGAAACAAATATTTAAGACACTGTAGCCAGAAGGAAATATTACAACAAAAATATTGAACGATTAAAGTAATTAATAATTCCTTGATAGAAGTTGCATATGTTAAAAATACTGGAAATGAAACATTGTACATTTTTGAATCGGCGATTTTTTAAATTGTCTTCCTTTCTTTGTCAAATTAAAAACTTACGAGAAACGAACTCTACCGTACGAGATATCCCGAATTTTGAGATCCCAGATTCTCCCAAAATTTTGCAATATTATAAGTTTAAAATGATAAAAATTTGCCAGAAGGTCCCGGCTACAGTGTCCCTCGAATAAAAACGTGTCACGTTGCCTGATCAGCAAAGTTCTGTGGTGGTTGCGGAGTAATTAATCGATCGACTAATCAACGTTTCGGCCAAGACTGTTCCCGGCTGATTAGAACGAATCGTAATCGATCGCGGACTATAGTTCATAGAGATTCATGGACTTACCTCGCTCTTCAGATTCAATGGCACGTCGCAGGGGCCGTCGAACGCGTCTTCCATTTTCACCTGATGAGACAGCGTGCTCAGGCTGTGCCTGGGCGGTACGGCGGTCGCCAACATGTTGGGATGCTGCAGATGCTGAAGACGAGGGTGGAGATGGGGCTGGTGGTGATAAGGCGGCGACAATCGGGTGTTCAGAGTGCGAAGATCAGCTGGCGGGGAAGCGGGCGCAGGAGTACTACTCTGTTCCTCCTCGGCTGAACCCTCCGCCATGTCAGCCTTGTATCCCGGGGACTCGTAATCTGCGAATCGACCAAAACTCTCTGAGGACTGATCTAATAGTCCAAATCGCTGCGCGCCCAACGCAATTCCATAATGGCGAGAGAATATAATTTGACAACTTGCCCGTACGATCACGCCGAGCATCGAGAATCGACCCAAAACCCACCCTCTTCGTAACCATTCTTCTTTAAACCACACGAATGTTATAAAATTCCTACTTTGTCATTCTCCGTTTGCGTTAGTTTATTTTCATTAGTCTATTGAAACACGTAAATAAATATTTTATATATACGTCTATGACACCCACAGACAAATCGATAACGAGTGTACGTAGAAATCTGTGAGTATGACGTTTTAAAATAATATTAGAATTCATGAGCTATTGTATTATTACTTTAATTCAGAATTCTTCGTAGTATATTCATCCCTTAAGTGAAAATGACGAGTCTCTCCCGAATGATTTGACTGTTCACGCTCGCTAAAATATTTAACCCCTTAACGTTCATGCCCGAGTCTGACTGCTTTGAAAAACGATATTTGTTTAATCTAATGGTTTAAGGGATGATAATATTTGTTTTTCTTCAAATTATACGTTGGATACAACATTGTAAATAACAAAAACCGCAGGTTTAGAAACAAATCCAATAAAGAAAACTGATCATTCTTGGTTAACTCGAAAAATATGAGCGTTAAGGGGTTAAAGTATACCATATTTGGGAATAGCGTGAAAAATTTAATAAAAATTGGACTATGTTAATTTCATTTATAGTAATCGCAGTGCTGTAATAAATTAAATGGTCGCAGTAAGTGCATTTGCTCGAAAACCAATTGTGAAACAAGGGTCAATTTGTGCTACCAATTATGTTTCTCTTTACACTCTGCACGTATTTGTGTATCTACGAATCGAACAAACATTTCTCCAATTCTTATACTCAAAATGGAGCCTGAATTTATTCGTGGCATTACTTGACAATTTATTAACATTGCCTGCTCGAAACCGAATCGACTCGTTTGATCTCCGAGGTCGGTGGACTCGGCTCTAATTTTTCTGACGTTACGAATCAGGCTACCGGGCTGACGGGGGAAAGTTTTCCACAGGATCGCAAGAAGAGAAACGGCGACGGAGAACGATCGATAGGATTTGAGATTGTCTCCGGCAGGCCGAGAACTTGAAAGGGCGCGAGAGACACGCATAAGCACGATACTAATTAAACGCGGGCCTCCCGCCAGCCGTATCGAAGCGTGATGTGTGCAGCTGTTAAGAATGCAGACAGTGAAAATTAGAAGGAGGCCCGTTTATCTTCCGACATCAAAGCAAAAACATTTGGTCGGTGGGGGCCGAGAGGAAGGCGGGAAGTTAAACGTATCACGTACGGCTCTTCGTGAATAAAACCGGAGACTATCGTGCACCGCTCCCAGGATACCTCGCGTTCATCTGGATAATTATTTTCGTTAAGCGTTCGTGATTGAATTTCTTCGCTCGGACTTTGTAGGAAACTGCCGACTAAATTGCCTCGCGAAGGACCATACTTTTTAGCCACCGACAAGTAACGAGTAATTTAACCCTCGTACACCGAGGCTCACGAAACGAGCATGACCGCACAGACGTCTCTGGAAGAGAGAATAAACCTCGAATATATGTCAAAGCTAATACCATCGAAGCAAAACATTCAATACTATATTTTCTATCGCTGAAAAATAGAAGAATCTGATTTCTTCCACTTTCTCGCCCATTTGTTTATATATAAGTGCACGGAAGCGATACTTGTGTAACCTCCATTGCACAGACATATTTTTTAAACTATTCTTGACTTATATTTTAAGGAACACGGTGACAAGTAATAAAGCATATAAGTACGAGTTTATTTAGGATGTTACTGTCGCCAGTTGATTGGTCGAAGCTAAGTTTGCGTTCCGTCTAACTGAACCGAATTTATCTTCCACGAAAGTTCGGATGTTTCTTTCGCGGCAGCCTGAAAAATCTGGTATGCGCGGACGGAAATATACCAATGACTAAATTTAGGAAGTTTTCCTAATTTGTTCAACGCCTGCGAGCCTCGCGTGTTCGTTCTTCGTCCAGGTTCTGTGGACATTGCACAAGAATCCCTTAGCTTCGAGGAAATTAGGTTATAAATTAAAGTCCCTTTGATCGCTGCGTGAGGCCTTACCGGTGCGTCAGTTTTCATTAAGAACGGCTGGACTGTTCCCCGGAGCAGCTAATATTTACCGGCTGCAACCTTAAGAATCTTAATAAATCGGAAACTTACTGGTGATGTTATTAAAAATTATATCATTTGCTAAACTGGCCTTGCAAACGATAATTGTAATAAATAAATCCTAGTTTCGGTAGATCCCTGAGACGTTAAGCAAGTAGAGCTACTTTTCTCATCTAGGTTTCACAGCTTCCTGGATGAAATAATCTTCGTCATTCCCAATTTCTTACATCAAGCCTCCTACTTTTCGATTTAATCGGTCCAAGTGGCGTTTGTTTCTAGTTTGCCACTTCGCTCTAGCGTTGCATTTCTCTGCAACGTGTTCACGCATGTGCCTAGGAATGTTAATGTTTAGAGACCTGGCTCTGGCAAGAAATCGAACTCCAAGCCGTTTCTTGAAGTAAGTGATTCCACCGCTGCATCTAGGTCGTCTCCGCAGTTTTAGTTTTCTAGATTCAGACTGCTTTCTAATATCTTTCAGTAAGAAATAATGTAGCAAATTTTGTAGCAAGCAGTTTTAAATCGAGTAATACGTCAGTAAAAAAAATCGCGTAACGCGTTGTGAATTCATCTCGATGTTCTCTACAATTTAGTAAAAAAGAAACGTTTCCATTTGTGAAACACAAGGAGATCTCGATTTCACCGTGAGAAGAAATTCTACTCAAAATTCTTTCAGTGCAGTCTACTGTACGCTCCGTATAGTTTAATTTTTGTTGCAAACTCTTTTTTATCAAATGACTGTAAAACTTGGAGTGTTTTCGTTATAACTCAGTCAATTAACACGAATAACCACCCACGTGTTATAAGAGCTAGTATACGAGCTCCTACTGTGCACTGCTAGAAAGAAGACGAGAGAATACTTCACGCTCCGCCCAATTCCCACCTCTGTCGGTTCTCCAGCCATCACCGTTCGACCCACGTGATCGTTTCGACCAATAACAGTCGACAATAGAAATAGAGGCGTGACCAATCCGTTGGTAACCAATCTTCCCTGCATTCGTTTCACTCGTCATTTTCTCGGTTCTGCACAGTACACGTTTCGAGTTCTCTAGCCATCACTATTCGATACACGTGACAGTTCCAACGAATAATAAATGATAATAGAGGCGTGACTGATCCATTGCAACCAATCGACCCTGCATTCCTTTCATTAATCATTTTCTCAGCTCTGCACAGTACACGTTTCGAGTCCTCTAGCCATCACTATTCGATACACGTGACAGTTCCAACCAATAATAAACGACAACAGAGGCGTGACTCGTCATCTTCTCAGCTCTGCACAGTACACGTTTCAAGTTCAACTACCACTGTACTGGCCTGCAGTAGGCTATTGCAATTGCACCTAAGAAATCTAGCAACGTATCGAGTAGGTTGTCACCTTACGACCCCGAGTTACATTCCAGTCTCCGCCTCCAATGAATTTAATCCCAAGGGCGTCGGGGAATACGAACTCTCGAAGCTTTAAGAACGTTTATCCGAGTGGTCCGTTAGCAGAGGAATTCAAGGGCAATGAAATCATCGGCCGTCTCGGGCGGGACCGACTCCGGATCGTTCTTCCGTTCCCGTCTTCCCGTTTCTCGTTCCACCAGGCCCTGGAGGGGCACAGGGGAGGATAGGGAATCCATCGTCGACGCCGCGGTTCGTGTACTTGCTGAACGCAACTAACAACATCTGCTTCTATTTTTGCGCTGGCCCGAGTCCAGCGCTTTACTTTTTTAAAAGCGGTGCGCCTATGACGAACGGCTGGATGGATCATCGAGCGGAAGCCCGGGGTAGAGAGAAACGAGCCGGTTATTCTGGACAAATTATTGTCAAAGGGCGGGAGCGCGCACCTTCTCTGCCCGCCAGCTACTTTGTCCCTCATGAAAGGCGTTTTATAATGGTCGTCGTGCAAATATTTCTCGCCGGTTTTTAAAAACGTCGCCCGCAAAAAGGAGCCGAGGGCTACCGGAGACGAGTTCACGGCTGTGAACATCCATCGAGGTCTTCGTACGATGTCATGTGCCACCTAACGCCGCAATTACTGCACTTTTTGGCGGACGGTTCCGCGAATATCGAGTTCAGCCGATCGATCAACGAGAACAAGATTCGACGGTCGTCGAGAAATTATCGCGAGGCTCGAGTCTTTCCTTGATCATTTCCGGGGAAGTGGTTCGATACAGGGAAAGATGCAATTCGACGTGACTGGATAAAGGGAAGAAATATCGCGAAAGTTGGGCCTCCGTTCTGCGGTCAATTCTTTCATTGCACTGTGCATACATATTTACTCCGACTATTCTTCGGTAAATATTACGGATTATATTTCACACAAGCAAAGAAGTTGCAGACACATGCATTCAGCAGTGACGTCGATACTAAACAGTTGATGAATAATGAATTTCATATATGTTACTTTTTATTAATAAATTTTGAAGAAAAATCGACAGGAGGTAGGAGTAGAAATTTTTCGGTGAAAAGAAAATTTTTTCAGATCGTTCTGGAAAAATTATTTTTAGTTGCGGGGTTCAATTACAATCATTTTTTGAGAGAAAAATTCTTTACCGAAAATATAATATGTGGCCAGAAATGTTTCTGTATGCCGGATAATCAGAATTTTACTGTATATGTGTAATCGTCTTAAGCTAAAGAGGCGTATCCCAAGTGTCTGATTCTAAAACTCCTGGATTTTCCTTTCATTTTTATACGCGACCAGCTTCATTGGTATCTTAATGTCCTTCACGATTAAAATACAAATATTTCATTACGGAAAGATGTAAAAGGTACTCATTGTCTTAGTGTACATAAATGTTCAAAGTTTTTGCAGATGA